ATATATATATATATATATATATATATATATATATATATATGGTGTGTAGAAAATTGTGTACTATTTAATTTATTGATTTCACCGAACTATCTTTTTGTTCGTCTACATCAATTCACGCTTGAATTTATGTGCTCGAGTTCGCATGACAACCAAACCTAACAGCATCCAGACGAAAACAAGCCGACTATTTTTAAACTTACAATTATCGCGTCGCCCACTCACAAACGAAAATATGCTTCGTTTTGTCTCATTCGCCATGCACATCATTGTACCGTGAAAAACAACACCGTAACAAGTGTTACAACAAATCGAATGAAGATGGTCAACAGCTCCCTGATAGAACTTATCTTCAGCTATTTTATCTCATCCCGATGACACATCAGTGGTTTCATTCAGACCGGTTCACGGACGGACGCACTNCTCAATCGGTATCGATACAAATCCCCCCCCCCCCCTCCCGGAGTCTCGTTGTCATGGTCTGTGAATAATCCGGTTGGGTGAACTTACCCCTGTTTCTCTGTCTGTGTGTACATATGTATGTTTGTAATTATGTGTTTGAGACACCATTATGTTCACGACTTGTTGCATCGTCCATCCATAATGACTGGGTCGAACGATTCCCGGTACCCGAGCGCATTTCAGGAGCAGAACCGGAACGTCAAATCGATAGATGTACAGACACACGGGCGCGCGCACACACACAGAAAGGTTTGCAGGCTGGCAAACGGGCAACGGATTTAACAAGCAGACAGTTCAGTTAACTCGTCAGTGGGTCTGATCTGAAAAGCGGCGGATCAACGTCTACGGAGCGATGTAGTGCACAAAGCATACTGTAGTCAGTTGAGTGATGTACATAAACTATTTAACGTTGCTCGGCTGGGAAATTATGTTGACTGTGGATGAAGAGAATTCGAAAATAGAAAAACATAAATTACTTGATGCATTTCACTGGACAAGAGAACTGGTTGTACTTTTGTTACAGCGAGAACTTCCGATTGAGAAGAACATTTTTCGCCATTCATGTCTGTGTGTTTTGTCAAATGCCAAACAATAATGAGAAAACAATCATTGAGTAACCCAATGTGCCCATAATCTCATATAGTGAGCGTAGGAATAGTATGTATCCAGTCCAGTGTCACAACACCAGTGATTTTTAGAATTCGCGAGATTCTCTTACCTATCAAGCAACCCAATAGATCTAATTTCGTTTGTACTCCACTTCTTTGAGGAAGTGTGTGTTTTATCGTTCCCTTGAGAGTATTCTAACTCTTTAAAACCTCATCTGCGTTACACAGAAAAGAGATCGTCAGTTGTTTTGTAAGTTGATCAACCATGTAAGAGAAATGGTCATAAATTGGGATTATTTTCAATCCGAACTGGAGTTTGTGCTTATTTAAAAAAATACCCGTGCACCATCAATAGTCGTGTTTTATATGTTCCGGATTTCGCACCGTTGTTATCGAATTTATTCTATATGAGAACATGTACCGTCTGCATTTACTTCCCACAATTCGTCCAAATGCTGTGCAGGTTACGGTCCAGATGGTTTTGAACAACTGAAAGCACAACCGTTTTTCTCCAGTATTTCATGGTCCGGACTATTGGATCGAACATATCCCGCTCCCTATCGTCCAGTGTGTTCACCACATCAAGCGAGCGTCGCCCTGGATTCCGTGTCTTCATCCCCCTCACTCAAAGGTGAGCTGTAATTAGAGTGTTGAACGAAGACAAGTCTTTGATAGGAATCGGATGTCCAATAAAATTCACTTCGTAATTTCTATGCTGGTGTTTAGCTTCATTAGATTTGCTGTTGACGGATGCCTTTTGTTGATTTATGGTTTCTTTTATCAACAAGCATAAGTTTTAGGTTTGGATACGACGTTTTCGAGGAGATTTGACGTTTCCATGGTAACATGCCACGAAGATTCTCGGTATGCAATACAGTTTCACGATGAGTTTTTTTAGGAAGTATCTATTCATAAATTTTATTATTCTTCCTGCAAACAATGTAAATTCGCTTCGGGTACTGAATGCTACACACCCAGGAAACCAGCTCACCATTAGAGGGCTGTCTCCTAAAAGTAAATGGTTGAATTTCAGCTCTTTGTTATGGCAGAGCTTTGCTGTTGCTCTGGCTACGTATCAGTTTACCGTAACCAATTTACAAGCTTCATTCAAAATAGTATGATGCAAAAGTTCATCGAATGTCACCACAGAGTGCATATTGGCTTTCATGGGGCAATCCTTAGCATTCAAAGCCTCATAAGTTGCTCACAACGTTGATCTTCAGTCTGATCACTCCTCCTATTTTGAGCCTAATAATCTAATAGGACCTGCAAATCTTTTTCCGGTATATCGTATTGAAGCAAGGTCACACAGATTATGTGCTGGCATTCACAGTACCGGAAGAACCGAACTCCGCTCCATATACAACATTCTTAGCGGCTTACGATAAGATAAGCTTTATCAGTTTTCGCCCATATCGAAGTCCTCGCAGCACTCGTGAGTTAATTGGAAAACCTGCTCACTTGTAAGAAACATACCATATTGTGCGTGTGTACATTCATTATTCTTATTGGTCAGTCAAACAAGTGATAAAAAATGAGTATTACTCTTACGTCTAATTGTCAATCACATTTTATTCCATAGTATCTGGATGTTCTGGACACTATACCCCCCCGAAACCATTGTCGTTACCCTCCTCAAACTTTATGTTTATTTTATAAACTTGTACTCAGACGTTTGCTCGCTTTCAAGAATGGCCTCTCAAAACATATTAAATGGTACAGATTTTGGGTGTCGAATGAAACCAGGAAGGAATTAGTACGGGTTGGGCGCGGACCGATTGAGGGGAGGTTTGTGTCTGTTTAGTTAATTTGGTTTCCAGTCGATGAAATGTGCGTGGGGATATCGTATCAACTATTGAACGGACGCATTTTAACTAAAATTGCACCCATAGATTTGGATCTATCCATTTCTTTCAATGTGCTTAGCCTTAGAAAAAGATTCTTTGTCTGCAGAGTGTTTGAAACCTACAAAGTGCAAGACTAGATGTCGACCAGTCCTGTTCCCAAACTAGATGATCCTGAATCGGTTCCAGTTTACCGCCTCTTGTACTTAGGCGTGACCCGACAACCATAGAACAGTAAAGCAGATACTTGCACACATTTCCAAGGCTGGACAAGCGTACACAAGAATGAAACCACGGTAGCGACGTGACGTTGGACTGGAGCTGACAATCAATGCTCACGTAGTCCGACCCAGATGGTGGAGTGAGCGAGTTAATAACGTAAATGCAAGTCGTCGTGTTTGGGAATGCACGGAGAAAAAATAACTATAGCATTGAATTAAGCCCAGTAGGCCTTACTGGTTAGGGAACGATTTACATATGCAAACAGGTGCATACCGCACCTCGCCTTTTTGGCGATTTCCGCTCGTTGCTGGAAAAAATCACGTGGAGGTCAACGGATGATTCCGAAACGAGGCATGAAGGAATTCACAGATCAATTTGGCAGAGTACGTATTTCCAGTCTTCCATGTCTGCCACTGAAGGATATGGTTGTGACCCAATAGCGGGGGCGTTTTTGTTGTCACTTCTTATTAGGCCAGAATACTTGTGTATGCCCACTTAAGCTGTGTTCTCTGCGTGTTGGTCATAAATACTCGCTTTCTTTTTCCCTTTTCCGGGAAATAGATTCAACCATTGTCCAACGTACGCTTTTTCCCTTACCTTGTACGCATTTTTAGTTTGACAACGGTCAGTGCTGTTCACTTCACTGTATTCTGCCGTACGAATGTGAACATAATGATGATGATGACGACGACGACCTGGAGTCTAACGGATCAGATATCTGCGGCTAGATTCACCTCATCTATTCTGTTATTTTCCAAACAACCGGGTAACAGCTAATCATGCGGGAGATTCTTCGAACCTAAGTGATACATATGCATGTGTGCCAGGGCATTCGAGATATACACACATTGGATTATATTCTTCCTCGTTTAAAATTTCGAAATACATCTAAGCCCCGGTGTCCAAAAATAAAACATCAACAAAAGGTTCGTCTTTAGTACGCTACGCCGAAATTTCACATTAAAAAAGTTTTACACTGTCTCGCTCTCTGTTTCTCGGAGGTTATCCGTCGCCTTGAATGGGTTGCATACCACATTTGATAACTGACTGCGTTGCACCAAATGTGGGATTACACTATTACCTTGCTATTTTTCTTAGTTCCTCAAAGGGATTACAGGTTGTTCTGTTCGGCAGCAGTTTTCATTCCGTTTACTATTATCAACACCACCGCCACTACTACTACTACTACTACTACTACTACTACTACTACTACTACCAATACTACTACTACTACTACTACTACTACTACTACTACTACTACTACTACTACTACTACTACTACTACTACT